AAGCTGGTAGATTACTGCCTTCTGGGCTTTTTTGATGATTTTATTTAATCTGGTTTCTATTTTCACTCAGTAATAAATGTTATTTGATATGTAATTGAAATATTTTTATTAAATCTATTTAAATAAAAGCAGCGACAATGGAATCTATGCGGAATCAAACGAGATAAGGCCCCAATAGTTTCCTGACGTTCTTGTTGTGAATTTTAACATTTCATAATAATTTTGATAATAGATATCATTCAATTAGCAGAGTTTGTGCTTCATTTTCCCACAAAATGTAAGACTAACATTTTTCTTTGTTGACTAAATGAGTTTTAGAAATGTTAACACTGGGTTATATTCTTAAGAACATAAGATAAGAAAATTTATAACTTATACATTTCTATCTGTTGCTCTTTTATCTCTTTTAATGATGCAACTTCCATCCTTGACAGCTGCCCATATGGTCAGTTTGCCCAAAAGACTTAAAGCTGTTTTTACCCAGTATTGTGTCAGAGAATTGTATAATATGCAAACCATATTATTCACATGCTTATTTGTAGAAAAAAAATATTGAATATTTATGTATCACTTTCATTCCTCTGATAATCACAAAATGAATTGAGGTTTATGGTTATAACGTGACAAAACGTAAACAAGTAGCATTCAATTCTTGCAAGGCACACTTAAAAGACAAATAATGTGTAAATAGTGAAATGTGTTGCCTTGTCCAAATGAGGATTTTACGCTCAAATGTTAAAAAAAAAGGTTGGTATTGATATTTTCACTACATAATGTTTGTGCTTTCCTCTCTATGACAAAAAAAATACATAAAGAAAACCATCTGTAGCAATTTAAACACTTACTGCATGGTTCTGCGTATAGGGTAAGCAATGCTTTTGTATTTCACAATTATGAATACTGTCTGCTATTTTAATGCAGCCTCACATAAAGCAAGACCCACTGAGGTTGCTTCATATCAAAGGTAAAGATACCTCCTTCCACAATGTAAAATATGACTCCTTAAATGATGCAACAGCTTCTCAGCTCACAAACACCAATAAACACAGAAGTTGATGTTTTTACATATTGTTTACTCTTTTTAGACATGGCTTCACAGCATTATTTTTACCCAGATGCCAGGATGCCAGATGCCAGAATGTTTTGGTTCTCAGGGAGCAAAGGCAAAATGAGAACAAAGTATGTTTACCTAAAGGTTTTGGGTCAGAGGAGATCCAGCATATTATAGACGATCAGCGAGGAAAGAACACATCAGAGCATTGTCATTTATCACCAGAGCTCTAACAGCTCTGCAACCTAAATGGTTTAATGGTTCAATTATTCTGCAAAATCATCACCACATGTGTAAAAGTATGGCTACATTGATTCCAAGGCATTAGCTTTGCTGGAAAGAATGTTCTATATGCTTTAAGCGACTAAGCATACATATGTGAATTCATCTCTATCAAATACAGAGATGTACAAAAGTATAAATAAAAATATTTTTTCTGAAGCTGTTTCCAAATTAATTTACATGTAAACCACTTATAAAGGAAATTATCAGCATGAACTATTGTCTGAAATGGTGATTCATCCCCAGTCCTCATCAAAAAGTGGCTCCTGTTTAATCAGGAAAAGTGATAGATCTTGTTATCTCAATGAGGTTTGAGTCATCTAAGAAACAGATTCAAACTCGAATAAAAATTTTTTTTATCAATTCTCTTGATGAGGAAATATATTTTGTACAGTGTCAAAAACATCAGGTTTAAATCTTGTGAATAGTAAAAAAAAAAAAAAAAAAGTAACAGCTGCACTCCCTCAATAAATGATGAAACAGTGACCCCTGTTGGAGAAATCTTCAGAAACACACGAATAGATTTTGTCTTACTTTTCACTCGAAAATAAACACTGCTAAGAAAAATACAGCAGAGGAAAAAATGGCTTTAAACTGCACAAGTTCAAAAAAGGTTGTCTTAAGGCTCACTGAGGATGAAATCATAATAATTCTGCTGTATTTGGGGTCAGTGACAATGACATCACAAGGAGCAGAAGAATCAAGGGAATCAATTTACATTAAAACAAACCATCATTTATTTCCCCTCCTAACATACAGCTGATATTTTGTATTTTGGTTTGCAGTGGCAGTATTACAGACTTAGAGCAAACAATTTTGAAGGATAAATTTAAATAAAAACATACAAATAGGGGAAACAACGTCAGCAAGAACAAACACTTAGTGAAAACAACTCAGTTTTACTGCCCTTTGTCTTGTAGGTTATTTGTGCATGAAGTTTGTTTTGCAGAGGTTTATTATATATTTCCATCTAAATAGAAAATAACTTGATAGCAAACTATATCTAAAGAAAGTTTGCTGAGAAGTAGTTTTAACACTGAATAATTTAACACAAGATCAGTGGCACGGGAAGGGGGGTGCTGCGGGGGCTGCAGCCTCCCTCGTCATAGCATCAGCCCCCCATGGTGGGGGGCTGTGGAGTAACATAATATTGTACTTAAAAACATGAAATTATTTATGTATTTATTTTTTAAAAGACTGTTTGATATGGGATTAAAATGATGGGCTGTATATAAGATATAAACTAATGATTCATTATTTTAATATTTCATAAAAAACTAGGCTACTCCCCCAGAAGCTTCCGCCACCTCACATTCGTTCAGGCATGGCTAGCAGTAGGCAGCAGAAACGTATTTCTGACTATTTCGAGGTAAGAAATGGTTTTAATTCCCCTATACTGCCGCCGAGCGTTTATTTAGTGTTATTTATTTCTTATTTATTTCTATATGCTGTGCCTATTCGTCGTAGTCCTGTGGCTGAAGAAGTCTACGCTAGAATAAGGCTGCACATCACTAAATATTATATCTGTATTAAGCTATTTAGTGATAAAATATGAAATTAGTTAATTTTTTTTTTTTGTGTGTTTTTTGTTTCAGATATGAAATCATTCCCCATATCGATAGTCGAATGGACTTTAAAGACGTTCAATGTTCAGTTTAGGCTATATTTAGGCCATGTTTAATTCAAGTATTCCTGATCCTGTTGATTGGGAGCTGTTGTTTGTTTTGAATGATTAAAAGAGAAGAAATAAAGTTTAAAATGTTCATGCTTTGTTCCGAAGCATTTTAAATGGCAGTTTTTGACGACAAATATAGGCCTACAATATTATGTTAAAAACGTCAGCCACAGCCCTCAACATAATGACGTCATGTGTTTCCCAACCCAGCCATCAGCCCCCCTCGCTTGAAACAGCTTCCAGCGCGCCTGCACAAGATTTAGTTTCCCTGCAACTTCATAAATGGTAAGGAGTCTATCTGTCATAAATCAGACGCTATATCGGTTCAGAAAGCAATGTAAACTGTTGTAATTTCCTATTTTCTCACTAGTTGGTACAGCGTTATCCTGTGCATTTCTGTGAAAATGTTTCCTAGCAATATATTGCAACACTTTAGCATTGTGTGTTATAACCAGAATTACCATGAAGGAGCAATCCCAAGGGATAAATAAAGTTGAGTCTAAGTCTCTAACCAATTCAACTTCAGTGTATTTTAATTGGATTGTTCATATGAGTACTTGATTTGTAGTAAATGAAATGTATGCTACATAGATTTCAAACGACAATGTATGTTTTGGTTACGTCCTGAAAACTCAGAATGGTGCTCAAATTTTCTTGTTTTATCAAGTTAACTACTACTCCAACCAGTAATATTCAATCATATTTTTTGTAGAAAAAAAATGGACACATGTGGTACAAAAGAGACCAAACAACCATTTTAAACATTGTTTAAATATATAAACTCATACATAGAAATATGATGGTTCATGAGGTGACACATGGGTGAACAGGGTCCAAGAGGATGCATCTCCAACCCTGCTCCTCAAGATCTACTGTCCTACAGATTTTAGATGCATCCCTGCTTCAACACAGCTTAATCAAATGATTGATTACCTTTTCAAGCCATTCATTTGATTCAGCTGTGTTGAAGCAGGGATGCATCTAAAATCTGTAGGACAGTAGATCTTGTGGACCAGGGTTGGAGACCACTGCATTAAAGAATGTGATTGGTAGATAAATAAAAATTTTGTTATTCATTTTTGGGAAAAAAGTACATTTTTAATAACTTATTAAATATGAAACTATTATTGAAATATATAATTCATTATTTGTAGTCCTTGTACATTAAAATCATATATAATATTGACCTTTTAAAGATTATGAGTGTAAAACAGCACACATGAAATAATTGAGAAAAACATCTTTATTATAAATATGCATATATTCAACAGATTTCATAAGGTGTTAAATAAATTATTGGCATACATATGTGGATACTACGGAAGAGGATTAGGACCACTGAAAAATAATAAAATTGTTAACTTATTTTTACATTTTATTTCAGTATAATATAAGAAAAAAGTCACAATTCTAACTTTAATCTCAGAATTCTGACTTTAATCTCAAAATTTTGGACCGAGGGGTCCCCAGTGATGCTGTTTCATCAATGGAAGAGCAGAAGGTGATTAAAACAAGAAAGCTAGTTTAGTCTCTAGACATGGCTATGGCTTGATGCTAACATGTTTGTTAGCTTTCAGAATTCTGACATTAAAGTCAGAATTCTGAGAAAAAAACACAATTCTTAAACTAAAGTCAGAATTCTGAGATTAAAGTCAAAATTCTGACTTTTTTCCCACATTAAATTGTAATAAAATTTAAAAATCATTTAATTTTTTTTATATATTTTTTCAGTGACACTATGTAGAATACATATCTTTACTTATCTTCTTTTTTAATTAATTGATAACACATGTCTTAAACGTATTCGAATCCAACTGATTTTAATAAAAGGACTCATTCTAAAAGTGAATATAAATTATCTCAATTTGCATAGATTTTAATTGATTTATCCTAATCGAGCCAGTCGAATTGAACAGACAAACAGGAAGTTATTATTGTTTCAACCAATCACAGGGAGAGACAGGAGCTGGAAGGTGTTGCTTCCCAGCAGCATGTAGCCACGTTAGCCCTATCACTAACCTGGAGCTGGCCAGCGTTCACAACTCACCGGCGTACGTAAACAGTCAGTGAAGACCTGTTTTATTTTCTTTACTACGAGACAAAACCGCCTGTAAATTTGTGAAAACACCGATGGAAGTTATCAGTGGTGATGTGCAGTCTAATGGGCTACATTGACCACCAAGGAGCTACCTGGCAGCCCGGTCTATGAACTGACAGCTGTCACCTAGCTGCTTAGCTCGGAGGCTAGCTAGGTGAGCTAACGGCTAACAGGGGATTTTTTCCAGTCTCAGCAAAGGCTAATTTAGGCTACTACTGTCGATTCAGACAGATAAACTATGACTTCTGTGGACAATTGGCTTGCCCCTGTTGGTCAAACTATGAGTTAGCTGAGAAACTACGGTTTGGTAGTATTTATAGCTAGTTCAGCAATTTTTTGGTTTGTATTTCTTTTTGGCTGCTTTCATTCAGTTATTTAAGCAGCTATTGCTGAAGAAAGGACACCGGGTTCCTCGGTGGACAGAGGGGCTGCAACCTTCGTTTCGACACCGAAAATTTTTTTTGGACTTGGGCCTACTTTGGATAGCATCTTGGTGTAATGAAGAAATTTTTTGACTCTCGTCGGGACTTTGCGGGCTCTGGGCCTGGTTCTGGAGCCGGTGGAGGGGGTACTGGTTCCGGTGGCGGTGGGAGCTTCATTGGCCGAGTCTTCAGCATCGGAAGATATCAAGTGACTGTCGAGGAAATTGTTGCCGAAGGTGAACTACGAGTCTTTTAGCTGCTGTTGATTAACTGAAATGCAAATTAAAGTATTAAAGCGAGACATATTCATATTATAAAGCTCATAAAGTCAAAGTCCTGTTTTTCCTTTTTTTGTGAAATAGTCAAAAACAGAGTCAGCAACACTTGGTTGGGTAGACTAGTTATTATTTAATGCTCATACCTTTTATTATTTTTATCTACTTGAGGACTGAGATAAACATGCCATATCTTAAAGTTCTATCTTTTCACTTTTTAAGGACTTTTTTAAGTGGAGGCTCCACCAAATTGACTTTTTAAGTGCTCTTTACTGATTTTTAGACTGTTTTATGTTTAGTTTTAGATACTTATTCATTTTGACAATGTGTTGAGGAAGGGATTTGTGGTTTTAACAAGTAAGAAACAAACTCAATCTCTTCAGTAGTCTTAACCATGACACAATTAGCCAAGCTTTGAAAGGTGTGCCATGTTTATGTGCTTGTCCTAGCAATGAGAATCCATCATGCTTTGTTAGCTAAGAGGACCTGTGACTAAATAATAAATGAAAAAAGTCTGATTAATTTATCAGTTCTCTCCTGTAGAAAGGCTCCATCTGTTTGGATGCAGTTTGGTCTCTTTAAACAATTTGTGTAAAATACAAATTTCTAGATTTTTTTTTCTTTTGTCACAGTATGGTATATTATTCCTTATTTGTTTTAGATCTTATAACCTCTGGGGACACATTTGCATCAGGTTATTACGTTTGTGTTCTCTAACTGCTCTTTATAACAGTAATAATGGTTATTTTTTATCTTACTGCAAGACATGTACGCTCAGTTTATCTCTGGGGCTGTTTTTGGCAGTTCTTTTAGTGTCATGGTCTTATTTGTAAATGGTATAGTAATTAAAAGGCTATGTGATATATATTAATTGAAATCCTAGACTATAGTCAGAGGAATTCAATACAGTTAGTGCCAAAATATAATTAATAACTTCCTGATTTTTAATTGAAGCACTTTGAAACTGCATTTTTTTTACAGTGCTTAAAAGTTGTTCAGTTTTATTGTGCTTTTTTTCACATTTGTTTTGATTTGCTGGAGCACCAGTGCAGGAGATTGGACAGTATTATCCTGACAAGCAGTGCAGTTACGTCAGGAGAGCGGCTATTTGTAGATGTACTTAGTTTAGTCACACAGTCTACTGTAAATATAGACCTTTGCTACATGTAGCTTAAGAAAGCTTTAGATACCTTCTAATTTCCAGCTTGTGTCTAACATTAGGCAGACAAGACAGCAGTTATATTAACCCTAGACCCCCTCCGCAGCAATGCACACACACACATTCAAGACCTCAGTTAAATTTGGGGCTGCACAATATTTTGAAATCGTTCTGAGCCTATATTAATATCTCTATTTAAATTAATTAAATATTTCTTTGGCAAACAAGGTCAGTTTTTATAATTTTAAAATACTTTAACAGCTGTAGAAGTCTCCATTAAATGGCCTAGAGTCTAACTTACCATAAGTAATAAAAAGCATAGAAAGGAACTTGACTAAAATGGAGAAAGTGAAATTGACCAATTGTTACCAATACAAAGCGGCCGAGTTAACAACTTTAGCATGCCCTTGCTCTCTTTTGTTCTAGTCCTCCAATTTCTGTAACACTACAGATGGCATAAATCTGGTTTCATGCTTTGCTAATCAGACAGGAGGCATCTGAGCACATGGAAGAACCTTTGGTTATGTTATGCCAGACAGATGACTCAATGTTGGCATGGTTTCACTAACAGTTATGTTAAAGTTACAGCAAATATATTGACTGTAGCATTAATTTGGATTTCCTATCTTATTTACATCCGAGCATAAACTGAGGGCTGAAACACTGTCCAAACCCTGTGCATAAATCACGCAGATCAGACTGAATATAATGACGACTTATAGATTAAGTTGATATCACAATATCACTGAAAAAACAAACCGTATCCTGGGAGGCCATTCCTCATGACTTATATGACCTTATGCTGTTGACATAATGCACCAGCAGGGAGAGATCCAGTGAAGTCAATGCCTCCTCAGTGGATCAGGGACTAATTTTTGCAGCAAAAAAGATACTGTTAATAATGTTATGCCTTATAGTTGCATATTTACAGTTGTGAGACTTTATGATACTATTTAATCTGTATGTTTACATTTAGGCAGCAGTATATGTTTTTAACTTGCCTTGCAGTAGATGCTGGCATAATTTAGATAGATTCTGCTGGTGTTATTTTAAGTGTGTTTTTAATATTTACCTTTTCAAGTCCAAAGTTGTTACATTAATGTTTTGTGTTTTAGCCCCGATGTGTTTTTTTTTCCTTTCTTTTTTATCCTTTGTAATCAAAGGTTGCATGAACTCTTGGTTTTTTCCTTTATCTTTAGCAACCACTTCTCTCACAGGCTTTTACAGTATGTCCTCTGAAATGTATATGGATAGCAGTGGAGAAGTCCATACCAGTGTGCAAGAAGGACTGTATTTGTGCGTTAACTTTTATTTTTCCTCATCAGTTTAACCCTTTAGAGATTAAATCTACTGATTAGTTAAAAAAAGAAAGACTTAGCTTCTATGCTGATGTATTTTTAAATGCTGTGACTAAGCTTTATGGAGTTTTGTCTGGAAAATAATCTAGTTTTAAAAGAAGAGAAAACAAGCTCCGAAGCAAGAACTCCAGGTTATTGGACATTGGACAGCTTAATAAAGTAGGATCAGCTGGAGGAATGGCTGAAAAAGAGAAATAATTTTGAATCATGTTGCTCTGGACAGTCTGGTGCTCTGCAACGTGATGAATTACCATGTGTGGCTCATAGATAGAGATTGAATGTAATCAGTGCATATGAAACAAGTGAAGTACGAATACTGTTTCTTTTAGTACGCAAATGATCCTTTATTGTTGTGCGGTCACATTCAAATTTCAAAGAATCTATTTAGTTTTTGTCATTCCTTCATTTATTTCGCAAATGTTTTTGGTGAGGCTACCAATACTTTGTTTTGGTTCCGCCTGTTGTTTCTAGCTGCAACTTTCATCAACAGCTGTTGGTTATAATTTGCCATTTTTCACACAGCTTGGGTTAAATTTTGTTTCCAGTTTATGATCAAATATTCCAATGATTCAGCTCTCTGTTTGCTAACTGAATTTGCATCATGACTGACATGAATACCAAAAATATACTATATTTGTATTATATGTAAATATAGTATATAATATGCTATATTTTAATCTTCCTCTTTTATTAATTTTTTTTGTAGGAGGTTTTGCAATTGTGTTTCTAGTGCGAACTCATCAAGGGCAGCGCTGTGCACTAAAGAGAATGTATGTCAACAATGAACATGATCTGCAAATCTGCAAGCTTGAGATACAAATCATGGTAAGTAAAAAGAAGTATTAGATATTAAGCTACTCACTGTATTTTGTCTATCAATATTTTCAAACAGGTTATAGTTGTTGCATATATCACATTTCAATTGCATTCTTGGTTGTAATTGGTCAGTGCAAAAAGTGCTAAGCTTATCTGCTTATTCATTACCAAACTTTGGAACCTTGACTGCCTGGGAAAATATGCAGTTCCTGCAGCAACACCCAGCGTGACTGTCAGTGGACGGATATCAATATTATTTATAATCTTTGGCAAGATAAATTTCTACTAACAGTAAATGACCTATTTTAGTGTAAATTGTAAAACCTATTTAAAGCAATGTTTTTTTTGTTTTTTTTTGTCAACCACAGAGGGACTTAGTAGGCAACAAAAACATAGTTGGCTTCCTGGACTCAAGCATAGCCGCTGTGGGAGCCGGTGATGTGTGGGAAGTCTTAATCTTAATGGACTTCTGCCGAGGTAAAGCTACCCAACCCCATTGCTTTTGTTTAATTCGAAGCTTCGTGAGGAGCTCACAATATCCTGTCTTGTTTCTAAGAATCAAAAGAATCATTTGATCTCATTTTTTTCAATAGAATTTTTTTTAATGCAATGTTTAACCGTTTTTTTGTTTTTAAAGAGAAATTTAGATATTTACATTTGGTTGATGCAGGATGGAGGAGTGAAATATTGATATGTTCATTTCTAATATTGTTCAACACAGATAAAAATATTTGGTATTTACTACTATGCCTGGAAGAAATGAGTGTAAAACGTTTCACCCTTCAAACAGAAACTTATTCCAGACCTCAAACAAAGTGAGAAATGCCAGCTGTTTTAGTGTGTTTACACATGGAGTGTGTCTATACACCTTTTATTGACCTCAATTTTTTTTCTAAGGTGGGCAGGTGGTAAACCAGATGAACCAGCGATTACAGACGGGCTTCAGTGAAGCTGAGGTGCTGAGGATCTTTTGTGACACGTGTGAGGCAGTTGCTCGGCTTCATCAGTGCAAACCTTCCATCATCCATCGAGATCTAAAGGCAAGCTTGGCTGATTTTACTTTTATGCTTTTAGCTTTTGCCACAGCCTGTTCATGGGGCATGGTAAATATTAGACATATTTTGTGATGTTCAACAATTTGAAAGAATTTCATTGTGTTTCTTTTCATTTAGGTGGAAAATATTCTTCTACATGATCAGGGGCACTATGTGCTCTGTGATTTTGGAAGCGCCACAAATTATTTTCAAAACCCACAGACTGAAGGCGTTGCAGTTGTAGAAGAGGAAATTAAAAAGTAGTGTTTTTCAAAGAGTTTAAATACTTTGTCGGATTTTCTGGGTTTCTAAATCTTAATTTCTGTCTTTTTTGTTTTCCCTAGATACACAACCCTGTCATACCGCGCTCCTGAGATGGTTAACCTTTATGGGGGAAAAGTCATCACAACAAAAGCAGATATATGGGTAGGTATTTGCTTTTGTTTTTATTCATCTAGATGTCTGCAACATGTATAATTTAGTGGTCAATATAAAGGTAATTTGTCTATCTAACAATTAGGCATCTTCCTGACTGATAGTTTCCCAATTTCCTTCTTTATGTTGCGTTTACGATTGATTAAAAAATATTATATTTTCTAAGTGAGGTAGCATCTATGCCTCAAACAGAAATAAATATTACTTCTAATTTATAATCCACTCAAAGATTCAACACTAACCCCTTATCTGGTGTTTATTTTTACTTTTTTTTTTAAGTATCGTGGTTTTTTTATGCTTTTAAAGAAATCAAGTATTGATATTCTTCTATGCAATATACTAACAGGGAAAAGTTTAAAGTTTCTGTAATTCACCAATCAGAGCAGATATAGGGGATTCGTCTGTTGCTGTTGCTTCTCTGATAAGATGTTTTGTTTTTGCAGGCTTTAGGCTGTCTTCTCTATAAGCTTTGCTTCTTTACCCTTCCTTTTGGTGAGAGCCAAGTGGCCATCTGTGACGGTAGCTTCACCATCCCAGACAATTCTCGTTACTCCCAGGAAATGCATTGCCTCATCAGTAAGTAACCTTGGGTCTCAAACCATCCATACGACTCCTGTAAATATGTTTGATATTTTATGTGCCTTACTTAAAATGAGCATCACATGTTTGTTGACATCTCAGGATACATGCTGGAACCTGACCCTGACAAGAGACCAGATATTTACCAAGTGTCCTACTTTGCCTTTAAACTTGCCCGACAGGAGTGTCCCGTACCAAATCTGCACGTAAGTTAGCATGATTGGAGAAATATGAGTTGAAAAATTGAGTTTTATACAGAAAGATGGTTTATTTATTAGATGATTTTCTTTTTTCTTTATTTTCCCAAGTAACTTTTTACATTGATTATTTACTAAGCTTATTCAGACGTATAAAATCACACCTATAATGTTAAACCTGTGTTTTCTGGTAGCTCTGTGATAATTTGATCTTCTGACCTTTACAGAATTCATCTATTCCTTTAAAACTTCCGGAGCCTATCCGAGCCAGTGAAGCAGTGGCCAAAAAGAGTCAAACCAAAGCTCGGTAAGTGGGAAACCAAGTACTAAACAATCGATATTATAAAGGTGGACCTTTTAGACCTGAGTTTTTTTTTTTTTTTTTTTTATGACTCTTCCCTACTTAAATTCTCACTACAGTTGTTATTCTCTTGACATGGGTGTATTAAGCTGTTTATAATCCAAGCTTTTCTTAAGCTGTAGTGACACACACAGCACACTTAGCTGTGTCTCTCACTTCACTTATTTTACTAATACTTTTATTTTAGAAAGTACAAAGCTGTATAAAGTTATTTATGTAGAGATGCATCAGAGATCCACATTCTGATTAGATTTTTTTCTGCCCTCCTGATACCAGTTTTAGTTGTGTTTTTATATATATATATATATATATATATATACACACAAATACACTTACTTTCTGGATGAGTTGGAAATGAAAATGTCTTCTTCTAACTGCTCCCTTTAAAGTGTCAAATCCCAAAAAATCTAAATAAACTCATAAGGGATTTCACTGTTACTCTGCAATGTTATTGTTATTGTTTTTCCCTCAGGCTAACAGACCCAGTTCCAACTACAGAAACCTCAATTGCACCTCGACAGCGACCCAAAGCTGGTCAGGCACAGTCACAGCCTATATCAGTCATTCTTCCCATCCAACCAGCTCTCACCCCACGCAAGAGGCCTAACGTGACCACAGGGACCCCACCAGCTTTTGGTACCGTTTGCTTTACTGTGTTGTTGGTTAGACTTCTATTTGTGGTAATTCGCTTAGATAAAGAGAGATATTCTATCGGATTTAAGGTATTTAGTAATATATTGACTTAGCAAGAGGGTATGTAGCCTTCAATATATCTGTATTTTTTTTTTATATTATCTATATATTACCAAATTCATTTCTGTTTATTATCCAATTAAATTTATGATGAATTATTAACCTATGTTTTGCTTAAACCAGCAATGCAATTTAGCCAAAAAGGAATTTTACAAACACCTGAGGTTTTACTTTTGGTGCCAGCAGCTTAGAAAAAGTTGGCCGTGCATTGAGTTTTGATTGGATGGCAAATTTATGCTGTTTTACAAGCTGTACATTCACTACTTTACATTATATCTGTATGTCTTATCTTTAGTGTCCTTCCAAAAGTAGATTAATTAAATATTGTGAGATCTGTACCGTTTTATGAGAAGCTGTGAACACACAGAAGGTCAAGTGGCTGTATGGAAAGTCAGTTTGGATTAATAATCCAGTTGCTTTTTTTTCTTCCCGGCGGCTGGTATCAATGCCCCAGCTGCAGCTGCTGTCCAACCTGCTCAACAGGCTCCAACTGTACAGGGTGCACCTCATCTAGTGCAGACAAGCAACAAGCATGTGCAGCCTACAACACATCAGCAACTCCTCATGAAGACACAGCAAGCCTCTCCCTTCCTAACAAGTCACGGTAACCAGCAGGTAGGGATCCTCCCTCAGCCACTATGGAAATGCAGTTTAGCCTGATTGATTATTCGTTCAGTTCACCTGCTGTTGCTTAATCATGTTTGCTGTTAGAGATACAGTGTGAGGCAAATTATGTTGAATTTGAAGCAGGGTTATAAAACTTGCAGGCAGGTCTATTAAAAATAACATAACATGTAAATTAAAATCAAGGTCTATTTTTCATGTTAAACTATGAAGGTAAAAGGTTACATTTTAAATGCATTATACATGACTTATTTATTGTATAACTGATAAATGAAGCTAATTAAAAAAATTATAAAATAAAAAAACAGAGCAAAAATTGAAAGAAGATCCTTTGGATCACTATGGCAATTGCTTATATGAGAGAAAAAAGACCACGGGAGCGACTGGCATATATTTCTGATCCTATTGGTTGTGCGAACCGCAGCAGTGCGGCCCTCATTGTATCACAGACAATAGCTATGGTCATGCATTGTTAAACAACCGCTGTGGGTACCAAATCTGCTCTGGTGGTCACATTTTTATGACATCAACATATGGCAACTCCACTCGGACAGACTGTATTGCACCCGTTTCTTAAGGATCAAATCTCTTTTGGAGTCTCAACATTTTATTACCTATATTTGCCAATATTTTACTTTTCTTCTGCCATCTAAAGTAGCCGAAAATAGAAAATAATCATCAGTCTTCAAGGAAAGTACTGCCTTCTAAGACAAACTGAGCTCTGCCATTTAACAAGGTGACAAAAACAGTCTCAGCTTATTTTTAATTATTTTTATTAAGATCTGAGGGCAGAGGAGGACAAATGGGTCATCTTAAAAAAATGACTTTCATAGAGATTCTAGACTAAGAGAGCAAGTTATTCTTTTTGAAGAAAAAGAACGGTTGTTGTTGACACGAATTTAAAAGTAGTGTAGCTTAATATGGCTAACTGACTCAGCTAAAAGAGGCTAACCTGTTAGTTACTGAGCACAGCTTGTCACAGTGCTACGCAGATATCCCCTTATATATCATGGTCTTGCATGATTTTTTTTCACTTTTATCGATCAGGTAAAAACTTCATCAGTCATTAGACACGCTAAAACTACAGATGCTCCCGATCTGCACACTGACGCTGCGTAATGTTATTATTGATGTCTGGACAACCACAGTGTTTTACATCATGTGGTATCGTTCATCCAATCATGTCGCGTGATGTCACTGGCATGCGCAGGGCCCGATCAGATCTGACCACCCGAGCAGATCTGGCACCTACACCGGCAGCTTCATGTACACCGTCAGGGATGCTGAGCGGTCTGCCGAGCTGTTTAATTATGTAGTTGAATTAATTATCCTTCCTGCATGGCCACTTGCCTGAATGACGTACAAATGATTGTATTTATGCTATTGCAGGTGAATCAACACCTGGGTTTTTGTCAGATGTCATTTTCATTGTGAAACCACAATATTTTTATCTGTTCCCGTCCTCTTCAGTCCCGAGTGGGACGAGATTAATATGCAGTGCAGTGATTGGGATGCATGGTTGTGTTAAATGACGCTCGTGTGTAACTTGCTCGTTTACGTAGTCAGCAATCCCTTGCCATGCCATCTGGCGTCTTTTTTGTTTTGAATTTTCATTTAGACTTTTTTTTTTTTTTTTTCCTCTTGTTATTTCTGTAAGATGTTTGTTCCTCACAGGAGAAATGTGGCGGTTTCCCCTCTGTGCTCATGACTGTGATTAGTCTGTTACCTTTAACCCGCCCCTGTATAGGTGCACATTCACAGCTTAATGATCAATCAAAGCTGGATTGAGTTTGCAAGTTGATGACCAGCTTCATGATCCCGCTGCCATTGTTGTATCTTGTTTAAACTGGATAGGCTGGATTAATCTTGCTAGGTGAAATTTGCTTCTTGGTAGGGGCCTCTGTTGCAAGAATGAAAGCTGTTTACAAACGAATACCACTTGCACTAAAGGTCTTCAAAAAGTGATGAAATATACAGTGGATCATGTTAAGTAATTGACTCAACGTATAAACCAATGGAAATGAAAAATGGCCTCTTAATGATTCACCATATTAGTATGCCTTCCTTTATGAGAAACGGGTGGAGTTATTTCGTTTTTTTTGTTTTCTATTTTCTTCACTGTTACACAAGTGATGAACAGTAATGTGGCAGTAAGAATTTCTCATTATTGGCTGTGTGGTATTCCAATCAACCGCAGAACCTGCACCAACATCAAACACCCTCCCATCCATCTACTCTACTGCAGTCCAAAGCTAAACCTGTTCCCTCAGTTTCCACCATGCAACTCCAACAGCAACAAGTAGTCCATGAAACAGCAGCATCTCATCTTGCAGCCATACCTGAGTCTGCAGTCCTTGCTCCAACAGATGTGGTAACATCTCGTTCCTCCTGCTGCTGTCTGCAGCTCTTTGGGTCTGGGCTGATCATTATTAGGTCATCTCTGATGAATCACATCCAGATTTGTTTTTCTTTTTTTTCCTTGTCCTCTATGGCAGTGAACATACTGGAGCTGAGTGTCAATCAGAACGTTATATAGAAGCGTCTCCTATGCTTTTTTTTTTCTTTTTTAGGGTATTTTTCTCTCTTTTGATTGTCTGTAAATCAAAAGTCTCTTTTCATTAAGTTCACTTTCAGTTAAAAATCTTCTTAATTTCATAATATTTTATTAAACTTCCACTTAATTTTGCAGATATATACCAATCATATCAATTTACAATTGCTTATCAGTTTATTCTGGTTGCTTTTTCTGAAGCCATCAGTGTATGAACAACTAAAGTGCATTGATTTAAATTTGGAGAGTGCAAACACTAATAAAGACTTGTTTATTACTCTAAGAAAAAAACAAAAACAAATTTATCCTCAAGTGCAACTTTTTTTTCTGTTTGTAATTCTTTGATTAACTGAAAGTAAACAACCTTTATTTCCAGAAATAATCTTTTTTCACAGCTTGGTTTCTTTAACTTGACTTCTTTACTGACTTCATTTTATACCTGGGGTTACATTTAGTTTTGCTTTTTCATTTTTGTTTTTTGCTTTTTTTTTTTATATCTTGCCCTCTGTATCATTTGTTTCTCATCCCAGCCTTCAGGCAGAGATATCCACAAAGCAGGCTCTTTGACACCCCCTTCATCACCAAAGATTGCCCCAAAAAGTGGCCACAGACGGATCCTGAGCGACGTCACCCACAGTGCCATCTTTGGGGTTCCAGTCAGCAAATCTACCCAGCTGCTTCAGGCAGCCGCAGCTGAGGCCAGCCTCAACAAGTCCAAGTAAGCAGAATTAACTCCTTTCAGCTATCTGAGAATAAAGAGTCCTTTTCATAAGGTGGAGGGAGTCTGGAAAGCCAATGGGAGTTTATTCATATGCCAGAATCCAATAGGAAGATAAAGGTCTGCTTTATATCAAGAGGAATTGAGCTTTAGAAGCACAAGTCATTAAACAAAGCGAGGGGCATACATAGGCAGGCCAGCACACTCACACATGCAGACTTTGCACCTTCTATTCAGTTTCCCTTTGCTTATTTAGCCTCATGTATTGAAACATGTTTGTATTACAGATCAGCCAGCACCACTCCTTCAGGCTCCCCCTGTTCGTCCCAGCAGAATGTGTATCATCCAGGTGCTCCTGACGCTGCACCAAATCCTCAGCCCGGCTGGAACCCCTTTGGAGATGATAATTTCTCCAAGCTAACTGCGGAGGAGCTACTCAACAAAGACTTTGCAAAGCTATCCGAGTGTAAGTTTTGTAATACGGCATTTTAAAATCCTAGCTGGCTGATTTAGGTTTTTAATGTCTAACGTGGTAGTATTTCTGCACAGCTGCTCAGCCAGGAGAAATAGACCTCACTTCCAGTGATGGTCTCATTCCAGAGCTTGGTGCTTTTCCAGGTAACACTTCTTTACTATGATTCAATTCCTAAATGTGTTGCCTGATATTTCCAGGGGTGGAGCTGTTTTGCTCCCTTGTATGCTCTGTTGTCGTTTTCGTAAATTTAATAAATTGTCCTATTTTTGTAGTGCATTTCATTTATTGATTTTCCAGGATATTTTTTCAATGAAAGCTTGAGTTCTTCCTAGTTTCTCTCTCTCTAAATGCACACCAAAAATATGTCAATTCTTTTATTTTCTTTCTCTCTTTTGTAGAAAATGATTGAGTGATTGAACCTTAAAATAGAATAGAAATTCCTTAATTGTTCTACAATGGGAAATTTATGGTGCAACAGAAGCTGCATAATAATAAAAGGGTTACAGCAGTAGAGACAATAAAAAATTATTGAGAAATTAAAAGAACAAAGTGAAAAAAAAGGTTAAACATTAAAATACAATGCAGATAACATTGCATAATAGCAAAAAAAAGTCTGCATAATAGGAGATGCGAAGTGTGCATAACAGCAAAAAGAAGCTCTGAATATGAACTTTGTGCATGTAACTTAAAGAGGAGATGAATTCATGAATAAGCCTTTATCATAAAATGCATCATGTTTATGATATTCTGGGAATTAACCAAGAAGGGTAAAAAAAAAGTAGTTTTCATTCATGAGGCATTCGATACCTTTTAAATCTTCGCTTATCACCAGTTGGATTAGAAAGAGTCGCGCTTAGAGGAGTTGATGTCCCTCTTTATTCATGGCAAGTCGTAATGTTCATTACAGTGACTGGATCTCAGTCAGGGAAGATGACATCCAAACCCGATACTTCCTGCAGATTTTCCTTTCTAATTTTTCTTGTGAAGAAATGGCTTCCCTGCTGTCCTGCATGATAACAGACCAGCATCTAAACTGATCCCACCTCCTTGTTGCCATTACTTGACAAACTGATGGAAAAACGGTCTCTCAGATGGATTATTTTCAAATCTTCCTGGAACTTGCTTAACTTTATTTGGTGTTCTAAATCTTAACTTTGAGAAATCAAATCTCTCCTCTAAGTTCTTCATATTCTTCAATGGTTGATTTGAGTTGGCTTACAAGCAGTAGCATGCCTGTGAAATCCTTTCATGCAAAGCGATGATACCAAACTCTTTCATGACTCCAGTTACTATTCCCTTTTAAGGCAATTATTCTGCTCTTCAATTTCATTCAGCATCAAATAGTTATATTAGATGCTCTGTTTGCATTAACTAATCTCCATTGAGCTAATGATAAAATTACTGAAATGGGCTAAGACACGTAACAAATATATTTTTTTTTATTATTTTAATTTCTTTCTTCTTCTTTTTTTTAAAAAAAGGGTTAAAGCTATTTTTTATCTAGATGAAAATTTATCCAATAAAAAGAAAAGCAGTCAGGTTGGTCAGAATCAAGATTTCTGACCTTCTTAAAACTTAAATGGCACACACCCCAAACCCTTCCTGCCTCAGCAGGGTTCCTGAATATCACTACACACGTTATTTTACAAGAAAGACATTTGTAGCTTGGACTTTGTGCCACCGTGTTGACATAGCAGTAGCCTCACAGTGGCTTCTTGTCCATGTCCATGAATAGACACTCTAAGATATGGGCTAGATGGCATCTCACATGCTGATCGGTCCTTTCAGTGTTGCGTGGCAACACGCAGGACAAATTCCCTTTTGTTAATTGGATTGCTTTACTGCTGGAGGAAGGCTTACTGGAGCCAAGTAGAACGGAGTGAAAGTTAAATACTGTCATGTTGAAATGAAAATCCTGCTATTTTAATTCTCTATAGATTAGCCTTTGGTGTACTAATCATTTCTGAATGCTTGCACTACTTTAAGTGTTATTTAATGCATACATTAAGACTAAACAGATTCTTCTTGTAATGAAAGAAAGATATTTTAATTCTTCACACTCTTCACAGCTTATCTCTTTAAGTCAAATTCTAACCGTTATTCTTGAGTTTCCTGATGAGGAAGAAGTTGACAAATCTAAACGTATCCATTTGGCCTTTTTTCCTCATAGTGAGGGCAGGAAAGGGTCACATCTGCTGTGTCATTTCCTGACTCAACACATTCCTTGTGTAAGGTCCCTTCCACACCCCATTTTCCTTCATAGCACTTTACTTGTAAGTATGAGCAGCAGCTACCGACCGGTTGTTTTAAGCATGGATTGCACTCTTCAGTGTGTGTGTTGTTATGATGTTCACAGATATTTTGAAAAATCTATCTGATTTGTAGGCCATCTTAACAGAGGTTTCCTGAAATAAGGAGTTGTTACTATTATTTCATTTGTATATTTATAAAGGAACCCGCTCAAACATCTTCTTACAAAGATCTTATATTCTTGGGGTAAAGGTCACTACTACTAACTGGTTATGGAATGTGTGAAAGTGTTGGGTTGAACTAAATCAACTAATGCTATGTTCACACTACCCGCGCCTTCAGCAGCACCACGTTTACATGCAAAGTCTATGGTTGATGTGCATCAAGGCACATCAAAAGGTCCTGCAGCACGTCTAGAGCAGCTGAAGCAACACCTCCTGAGCCTCTGAGTAGTGAAAAAATTGGAATTTTGATGATCGACGCACAACATCAACCAATCAGAGAAGCTGATCTGGGCGATGACATGGAGACAGACACAGCACTGCTGATGCGAATCGTTTCGATCGCTCCCCTAAAATCGTTTATTAATGCACAAATTAAGTAAAAATGTCGAAGCCTGTCGGCACAATATGTTTGCTTTTATTATCGTGGTGCTTGCAGTTTGTACCTCATACCTGAAAAACGCTAACATCTACTTCCAGCCGCCACGAATAGTAGAAGCTCCTGAGGGAGCTGCTGCTTGAATCACAATTATGGCGCACCGCCAGTATGTGGGGGTCTGACCGACTCAGACAGCGAGATAATATTTTAAGGCAGGATCGTAATCTTGATGAACTGACTGCAGACAACATTTGTAATTGGACTTTCTCACTTAAAAATATATGAACACTACTTTTTACCAGCTTTTACAGCAAATATAGCAAAGCCACCCTCTGTCATTGAACATAGGAGCAGCACAAGCACAGGCACACTTTACTGGACGAGCTTCAGGAGCGTCAAAGACGCTCTTGAGACGTGTGCGACCTCAATGTGGAAAAGCTTTAAATATTAAGCAGGAAACACTTTTTTGCTGCTGAGATCATGTGCGGTGTGAAAGTAGCATTAAGCACTAATTGGTAAATGACCAGTACTTATATAGGAGACTACCAAAGCGTTTTACAATACATTCACCCACATTTAACCCATATCATTAGTAAGTAAGTTCAAATATTTATTCTCTTTCAATCCAATGCTTTTATCTAAGTGCAGAAAAAAAAAACAATCCGCAGCCTGCACATGTAGTTTTTGGTTTAAACTCCACTGGATCCACTTTGCTTTTCCTCCCTGAATGATACGTTCTGCTCTAGATTGATGAGGAGCAGGAGCTGCAGGCGGAACACTTTGCACAAACTTCAATGTCCCCTCATGTAATTATAAAACAGAATAAATAGAATAGCTTTTTTAATTTGGAGCAAAGAATCAAGCTGCTGACGGGCACAATTCGGGTCAGCAAACTTGCTGCATCTGAATGTTGTGCATATGCACCCTTTTTAGATGACACCCCGGTATTTGAAAGACGTCATCTTGCTATGAATTTAGAAATGATTCTGACCCCGAAACCCCACATCCACCGTCACCATCCCGCTGCGCTCCAGACCGCCTGCGCAAAGCAAAGCCTACAGCCTCCGCTGTTCCCCCCGTCTTGCTGTGCTCCGACTTCCTTCGAGTTTGAGGAGAGCATGCGCAATATTATTGCTAAAATTCAAAGGAGCAAAACATCCGGTAATGAACATTTAATTTAATATGACACATACAAAAAAAAATAAAAAAATCCCCATCAGCATCAAGCATATGTCCAGTTTCTGGCCAAATATTTTCTTTTTGTTGTTGATTTTTCCCACAGGGATAACTAGGATCATAAGAATTTTTTTTTTTATCAACTGTTTGTTCTATACTTCCAAACTCAGCATCTCTTCATCCAGGCCTGTGATAAGAAGTTTCTGTTGATTGGATGTGATTAAACTTTAAGCCTCTCGATATAAAATAAACATTTTGATCGAGATGAGAAATCTGCTTTCCTACCATTTAAATATGATTTTTTTTTTTACTTTCTTTTTTTTTTTGATACAGAAGGGAACAAGAAGGGATGGAAACTAAATAAAAAATATACCCTTTAGGATCCACTTGGAAAAACTGAAACATATTTTAAAAATTCCTTTAGTTTGCTTTTATAAATTACCAAAACTTCACCAATCATTTTAGTGAAGGTTTTTTTTTTTTTGTTTAACTGGCAGAAGTTTCCTGGAGGGATTATGCTACAGTGATTAAGAGATTCATTCATTTTAATGCTGTTGACACAATAAAAAGTGTGCAGGGAGCCATAATGCCAATTTAAAAGTAAAACTTTTTTATTGCTCATTATTTGTGTTGCTTTAGTGTTATTGTGTATTGCTCCATCGCATTGATAAAGTCTAAAGCACAGTAAAACTATAATGGAACTATAATTGGAATTTGCTGGATTCCCTCTACCTAGTTTATTTTCAGTCTCTTTCCTACTTATTTAGAAAGTAATCGACAGACTTATGTTCCTTGAATTTATTATTCAGCTTCCCGATCGCTTTCTGTCTCCTTCATTATAAAAAAAAAAAAAAAAAAATGATTTCCTCCAAATTTTATATCTCATTCAAATGTTCTTTAAGCTCATTCTCTTGTGTCCTTTATGATCCAATAATTGGAACAATGTGTTTGAAAGGAGTAAATGAGATCTTCAGGTTTAACCCCATCATGTTTTTCTTTTCATGTCTTTTACTAACCATTTCGTTCTTTGTGTGCCTCGGTGCAGCAAAGGCTGAGGTGTGTGTGGATTCCTTGATTCCTGGTTTGGAAGCGCCTCAGCGCCATTCTGTCCAGCCAGAGTGTATTGCTGCCAGCATGCCAGGTTAGCATTCTGGACCATGGATGATATAAGAAAAAACAAAATATCACACCAACTTGATTTGCATATATATATATATATATATATATATATATACACACACTCTTGCTTCCACACCATGTCTAGTATATAGGATGTTAACCAGGTTTTACACAGATTTTTTTTATTTTTTTTTGTATGAGGATGGTCATTGAAAGGAAACAAAGTGAAAAGCACTTTTTTTTTTAAAACAGTTTTGTACTTAGATGTGGCGAGATTACTTTAGGCGATCTTTTATCATATTGATTAGTCCAGTTGTGTTGCTGACCGAGCTCTGACGAATGATGAACTTATAAGCTTACAGGCTAAGCTAACGATCTGTATTGTATTGGGAAAGCTGGTGAGACTGCATTTATAGTAATTTTAGCCCCGCTAATGGAGGACGCTAGCCCGCCTCAGCTCCTAATATACCTATTTAATACTTAATGGTACTTATAGCAGGAAGAGCGAAACATGTTGAATGTTGCTCCTCTGTTATAATACCTGTAACTAGTTCTTAATAACAATTTTGACTCTGCCAAAGTCTAACCTGCAGTCTGAAGCTACTAACATAAATTGACCACAGGATTGTGATTGGTGCATCTCAGCTTTGGGATTTTCTCTTCCTTGACTCCAAACTGCAGATACCCATCTGTTAGTATTATTATTTAAAGCAAACATAAAGGGTTATGTGTTGTAATTCTGCTGTGTGCTGCTTGCTTTACTAACAGAATGCATATAATTTTGTTACTCTAACAGTTGAATTTCCTCTCACCTTTGGCTATGCTTCAGATTCTTTCTCTGGGGAAACTTCTCTGCTGGGTTGTGATTTATTAACTCATCCTTCTGGTGGCAGCCAGCTTATTTCTGCACTCCCTTCCTCCTCTGGCCCTCCTGGCTGTGGCTCCAGATCCTGTCTGGAGGAGCTGCAACCCAGTCAGGCTGCCGGTAAGAAAACAGTTCTGCATCACAACATTTGCTCACTATGTTAGCCATGCAATTAAGAACCTTAGAAGGAAGATGTAGCTTAGCCTGGGGAGCCTCTATTTCTGGAATAAGAATCTGAAAACGATGTAACGCAGATTTTTAAACCTGACTTCTATCTGGACGACCTTCTCTGTTTTCAATGTGCATGCAGACTTCTTTTTTCCTGGCTTTCCTCCCCTTCTGAATTAACTTTTGCCTCCGTCCATTTCTACCTCTTATGTTCTTCCTTCATCCCAGACTCTTCTTTCCTCTTGTCTGGTGTGAAAAAGGGCAGTGATGATGAGTTTGACCCCATTCCTGTGATCATTCCAAAAAATACAAACCAAGGTAAGTTTGAAAGAATTGCAAGGATTTCGCTCACACCTGCTGAAACCACAGGAATGAATGACTCCACCCCTGTTTAATTTAGCCTAGCTTGTATTAGTGATCATCAGTGTGTGTTTAACACCAACATCCCCAGCCCACTGCTCATTGCAGACATCTTTTCTTTCCTTCAGCCAAAGGTTACCTGCCATAGTTGCATAGATTAAATGCGTATAGGCTCTGTGTATAATCTATATGAAGACACTTCATGTTAGAATGAAACTTCCTCACCTATATTGAAGCAGCTGTATAAACATGATCCCAGCTTATTCTTTGCTTCTTTCTCTTTCTGCCTCTGTTCATGCATTATTTTTTTTCTTTCTGCTCTGCCATCATTTCCCTTCATCCTCATAATTTCCTTACTCATAACTTTATTCATACAATCCCTATCATTGACGTTTTCTTTTGCTTGTCTTTCAAAACCTCCCTCGGCTCCTCCATGTCCATCTCTGTCTCCTTCTCTCCTTCTTTCTGGCACGTTTTTTCAGGTGGTCACTCTCACAGCAACAGTGGCACTTCAGAGTCCAGCATCCCCAACTTGGCGCGTTCCCTTCTGCTGGTGGATCAGCTCATCGACCTCTAGAGGGGTGGGAGAGGTCGAAGGGGCAGAGTGCAATCATAAAAACAAAAAAAAAAGGCTGTTGGGGAGAGGGGGACACAGATGGGTTACTGTAGCAACTTTTGAAGGGAGGAAAAGCCATCATGGATTGGTTCAGTAGAGCCATTCTGTTTATGCCTCCTTGGCCTCAACTCCATCTCTAGCAGCGTGATAAGCTGGTTTCATGCATCTCTGCTGGCCGTCGACATTTCCACGCTGGTATTTTTTTTTTCTTTTTTCTGTTAATGCCTGAGCATATCGTCTGCTTCTGTCCTTGCTTCATCACTGTCTTTTTTTTTTTTCATGCTTCCTTGTTCTTGCAATAATGTCCCTCCTGATTTTACACCCATTGTTGTTACATCTGTCATTGCGTGCATTGCCTGATCACAGCTCCTTTGTGCTTACCTTTTTTTGTGAGTGATTACATTTAAAGCTTTGATATGATGCTATTTGTAAGATGTCAGACCTTACATGAAGGTAGACCTAGAAAAGCAGTTTCCTATAGAATATTTAGACTAATGCTACATTCATACCTAAAGCAGCAGAGGCAGCTGGAGAAGCTAGTTTACATGCAAAGTCAAAGGTTGACGCTCATCAGGGTGCAATAAAACGTCCCGCAGCGCGTTTAGAGCGGCTGAAGCAGCGCGGCTGAAGCAGCGCGGCTGAAGCAGCGCGGCTGAAGCAGCGCGGCTGAAGCAGCGCGTCTGAAGCGGCGCGTCTGAGCGGCTGAAGCAGCGCGTCGTGAGCTTCTGAAGCAGGGCGCCGTGAGCTGCTGAGCATCTGACATGTGGAAAGCGCTGCAAACGCAGCTTCTGCTGGAGTTAGAAAAATGTAACTTTTGCTGCTCAACTCGCCACATCAACCAATTAGAGAAGCTGATCTGGGAGCTGGCAGGGAGAGAGACACATCACTGATGATACTGATCACTATGATAACTCTGAAACAGTCTATTAACGCCTAAATTAACTTAAAATGCCAAAATCTGCCGGCAAAACGTCTTCATTTTTATTATCCTCGTGCCTGCAGTTCAGATTACGTTTATGAAAACCACCCTCCAGCCGCTGCGGCAAACTGCAAAGAGGTGCTGGGCCATAGGCTGCTGTTGAATGGGATTCCTAGTGAGAGCGCATCGCCGGTATGTGGGGGTCTGAGCGGTTCTGACAGCTAAATAATATTTGAAGGCAGGATGGTAATCTGGATGAACTGACTGCACAGATTCAGTTTTCACGTGAACTTTCCTAAAGAAAAACCAGTTAAAACGACTTTTTACCCACTGATCACAGCATATATAGCTGCCATTGTTACAGGCAAAGAAGTTATAGGGTAGCTCAGCCCAACGCGCATCAGAGCCACTTTTCCACTGCGCAGCAGGAGCAGCAGAGATGCTTCAGCTGCACGTCAGAACAAAACTTGTACAAGCATCAAAAATGAAGCAGAACACACGTTATTGCTGCTCTTGCTGCTTGAAGTCTGAACGTAGCATAAGGAATCAATGTTGGACCTTCAGAAATCACTCAGTCGTTTCCCACTACACAGATAGGCAGGTAAGGAATGGATCTGTTATAGTGTTCTTTGGCCAAATTCTCTCTAACCTTTGGTTAACTTTGAGGAGAAACATGGTGTCCTGTTCAAAGTTTTAATAGGATCGAAAAGTTTAGCGTTTTAAATAATGTTAGATTGGCTTGCCAAAGTATTGATATATATCTTAAACATGATCACATCTTATTCTCCTTGCAAGAACAGTTTGAATTCATCTTTAGAGGGATTTTATTTATGGATGCTAAGGGATACATAATTCTGAAATGAAAACAAATGGATGCAACCTGTGTATTGAATAGAGGAAGTGCATTATTACAGGTATTCTGTGAAGGCCTCAAGGTAAAAAAAAAAACTATTTGGAAAGATATTATTTTCAACCTTGTTCTGGTTTATCATGTAAGCGTTGAACAAAATCCATAGAAGATTGGAGTTTTAACATGTCAGAATAAGGCTTAAAGGCTTTATTTTTTCTGGATGAGATGTTAAAGATTTATAAACGATGAAGGTTCTGATCTTTGGTTTTCAACCAAACTCTTTATGACTGATTAGCTTTTACTCCTAAGATGCTCTTCTTATCAACATGTTATGAACGTTTGGATAAAACTGTATTTTCTGTTTGTATTTTTCTCTCATAATTTCTCAAACTCATTTTTTTATGTAACTGGGATGAATTAAACTTTAGCCATAATGAAGCAAAAAGAGATTTTCTAATCCTGCTGTTTGCGACGTGTTATTCCCCTCTCAGGATCAAACTTTTCAGATTACAGCTTCATTACATGAAAAGAGGTATAGAGTAGATGCCCCTAATATTCCCCCCCCCCCTTTTCTTTCAGCCTCTAGCTTACAATGATTCTGATCTTTTCCCATCTCTTCCTACCTAGTTGTACATTGAAGTAAGTTAGCCAGTTTGACTGATTACTGTACATAAAATCCTAATAATTAATCCATTTTATTGTGTGTTTTAATGTTACATCTTATCATTGCATATTATATAAAGGTATTTTATGTTACAGTATGGCTGATGTAAGCATTTAGAAAGAAAATGTATGAATGAAGTCTCATAACTGAACATGTAATAACTATACACTTGTGAATAAAGTGTATTTAGAACTGTAAATGGTGACCAAGCTTCTTCAAGAGTCCAAGTTTTAGTCTTATTCGCTCATTTCAGACATTTGGCCAGAGTGTTTTTTTTTTTTTAATGCTCTCTATGAATGAAACTGTCCCTAAATGAAGCAGCCGCCTCCTATTGTGCTGCTAGATTCATCTGTTGGTTTTTTAAGAAGCATAATGACTGAAAGCTCTTCCTGATGTCTCAGATTCACTCATTATTGCTTGTTATTATTCCAGTGTTGAGAAAGATTGGATGGTAGCTGTATTACGTTTGATGAGTATCATTGCTCTTGGTTTTGTGGTACATGCAAAAATCCCACAAAGTTTCACTTTGAATTATGGCTTTTCCTTTGTCACGGAAGTGTATCTACACCGCTATATGTTCTAAGCTTATGTTGAAGGGGACTTTGCCCTGCATTTAACTGAGATCTACACATTTCCTTTTATTATGTTTTGCCCTTGTTGATACAGTGAATTGTTTATGCATTAATCTAGCAATGGCCTTTAAGTTAATTGACTGTTGGAAAAATGAAGCTTCACTAAAAAAAGTAACAACTAACCTATAACATGATACATTTTTAAAACATTAATGAAGTATTAAAGATAAACGTTAGCTAGTAATGTCATGATACACAAAAAGCACACCATGGCTTAGAAAAAACATGTTTCTGCTGTTCTGATGCATCATAAATGATATAGTGGATTTCTGCTGTTAGATTCGTCGATTAAAGCTTTTTTCTATTGGACTTTTCCTCGGTTATTATTTCCGTAAAACTTGGCTTTAGAATAATTTACTGTAGGAAATTATGTATATGTGTGAATATTTAACATGCTAAAATTCCAGAAATGTGTACACAATCTAGAGAAAAGTTAGTTTTTACTGTAATTTTTTGCTCCTAAGATTTATTTTTATATATATATATATATATATATATATATATATATATATATATATATATATATATATAAGAAGAAACGCAAATGTTTGTTTTTGGATCTCAAGGAAAGTTGAGTTATAGTTCAGATATTCTTTCTGTACATTTTTAGGGGGTTTATCTTTTTTTTCCCCCTTCAACAACTTATGCTACAAATCACACTAAAAAGGACCTTTAAGCACCGAAGATTATTTTGCTCGACTTAAACTGCTACTTTTTGTGAATCATATCTTTAAGTATCCAACCAAGTAGGTGACCTTTTACGGCCTGTTGAGCTGAAAATCCTACGATTGTTTTCTCAAGCTGATGAAGGCATCTCTGGTTATCTAGATTCCTAGTTTTATCATTTAACATTTGTTGTTCTCTGCAACACATGGTACGTGCTGATGATGTTTAAATAAATTATATCAATGCAACCTTATTTATTTTCATTTTCTTTTAAAAATTTCTTTTTTCTGTTTTTTTCCCCCACATTTTTATCTAAAAGAAAAAAAAACATAATGTGACTACATGATGAGTTATTTAAAGGTAATCCTTGAAGGAGGTTAACTTAAGCTGTGGTTAATACAAAATGTGTTGCATTAGAAAGTAAATGATTTAGCACCAGCTAGTTAAAAAGAGCAAAGAAAACGGATGTTTTCCTCTTAATGGCTTCAACTAACATCTCTGCGTGAACTGCAAGCTAACCACTTCTGTCAACACCTTTAAGGTAAGACTAGCCTTGCTTGCTACTCTGTGCTAACCTGTCCGTCCCTATTTTCAGCTTAACTTTCCTAACTTTTCCTCCTTGTTTCCACAGACCAGCTAATCTCAATTTAAACTCCCCAAACCTTAAATAATTCTCACTAATACCTCCATGTGCTCTTACCAAGTTCCTCCAACATGCTTTAGAAGCCTGAGACTGAGATGCTGCCTCTTCAGCTAAATTGTGGAAACAAGTTTCTTGATAAGATAGCTGCTAAGCTCGTCCATCCTGTGACTTGTTCCTGAGTAGACTGTATTGTTTTGTAGTCGTGTCAGTTTGTCATCGTCCTGTCGTCTTAATAGGCAGATCTGTAGAGATGGTTTGTGGGTCGCAGGTGTGAAGTTTCTCTAAAAGCTGATGGTGAGATTTTAAAAACTCATACCTGCAGTGCTACTTATGTAATGTTTGTTTTTTGTTTGTCTGTGTTGTACAGAAGTGGAAGGGGAGAGTAATGGCTACACTGTGCTGGAAGAGGGTCAAGAGACTGAAGACATTGAAGAGAATGATCTCAACAAAGAAGACTGTGAGCATTCTAGCGATGAAGATGTGGAGAATGCTGCAGGTAAAGAGGAGGAGGGCACAGCAGGCGAGGGTCATGTTGCTGCTCAGGACTGCAGTGGCTCTAGGCCATTGCTGATGGACTCTGATGATGAAGAAGAACATGGACCTCTGGTAGCTCCATATTCAGCCCTGCCCCCCAATACCACACCAGTACAACCACCCGCTACCTTCCCTCAGTCCACATCAAGCACCTTTGCTCATAATAATTCCTGGGATGTACCAGAGAGCGGTGTCACTCCAGATGTCTTTTCCAAAGCCCCCTTTCCAACTTCCCAGGAGGATTCAGCCGATGTTTTTGCCAATGCCCCTTTTCCACGCGCTCCTCTCGTAGCACCGCAGCAGCTGGATGTGTTCTCACAGGCTCCCTTCGGAAAAAGAAAGGAGTCCTCAGCTACACCGCCGAAAACCTCATACCCCCAACCAGCTGGAGGCCAGGCTTTGACCTCTGATCAGGGAGTGCTGGGACAGGTTGCTCAACAACCGTTCCGCCCTCAAGCTCTGACCAAATATTCCCGCCACTTTGAAGGACCTGGTCCCGAGCGGCCGGGAGCAGCTCCCAATGTGAGCAGACAAGCAGTCGAACCGCTTCAGTCATGGACGTCAGAACTTAACGCTGTAGACCCGTTTGTGTCTGCACCCTTTCACCTGAAGGCACCGCAAGACAAGCCCTGAACACACGCACAGAGCTTATCGGCAATTTTCACCCATGAAATATGCAAACTGCAATAGGCTTCCTGCATGCTGTCACCAGCGCTGCAGCTGGACTGCAGGCCTCCATCACATCTCGTTCTCAACCTTCCTACATTAGATCAGGCAGGGCAGGTTTTCCTTCCCAACTCTTAGGTTCTCTTTACTCTTGGCGTGCACAGAGACAATGTTGGGGTTAACCATTTGAATCCTTTCCTGACTACCTCAGTTACTTACTGTGAGGGAGTTTGTGCTGAAGCTATAGCAAAATTATTTTCTGCACATTGAAGATTGACTGTAAAACTGTGATCTAAATATCCCACTCATTCATTGCAGTGCTTATCGGAGTGAGAGAAATTGTCAATTTCACTTGAAAGGTGAAACTTTCTTTTCATTCTCTTAAGGTGTAATCCAAATATTTTGGAATACACCTTAAGAGAATGAAATATCCAAATTTTACTATGTGTTTTGACAAAAAAAAAAGGTTCAAACCATCTAAATGTCCAGTCTGGGGGCCTTTTAGTCTTACTTGACCTGTTAATAAACTGTATGCTGGAAATAGTCTAAATGGAAACTTCCATTATTAGATATGTTTAAAACAATATGTAAGCATCTTGTTTTATTTTTCCATCTAAATAATTGTTTTCCTCTATAGGCATCATGTTTGTCATTGTTTGCTAACAATAGAATGTTTTTTCATTTTATGTATGGCTCAGATTTTACTGTCATTGAAGTAGCTCATGGGTATTTCACATTGTGCTCATCTAGTAGACACACCCAATGTGTGAAACTTAATTGTTTGCCTTCTTAAAGCTGCTGCTTTCACATTTGATTGCACTCGCTTTCAGCTCCAAATACTCCTGCTGTCTTTGGTCTGTGCTTCGTCAGCACTATAATGTAGCCCTATATGGAAAAAAAAAAATCCATGACTTCCAAGACGTGCACAAAGCGATACATTCAAGTCTGTAAAACTGACCCAGAAATGTCTGATGATCTACGGCACTTAATCTTTATAATTCCAGCCAGAGATTGTAATAATTGTGTGGTGTGAGAGCTTGAATAGTGCCTGATTTATTAATTACCCTTAATTTATATTATTCTATATTTTACAAAATATTGGAGGCTTTTTTTTTTTGTTTGAGGGGGCTTGTCTGTAGTCTTGCAACACTAATTGTTTCCCACAGTGGCACTTTTAAAAGGGGATCCAAGCTGTGTCAACCTTTCTCTGCTGTGTCATACTTTCTCTGCTGCAGTTCAATTTTTGACCATACAGTCTCACCCAGCCTACACGTATGAAGATTGCACAAAGTGACTGACATGGAGTCAGGGTTCTGCAAGATTCTTTTTTTTTTTTTTTTCTGTCAGCTGTAAAATGGATTTTGATTGCTGATGTACAGGTAGCTGCTGGAGGACGAGCAGAAGAGACTGTTTGACAAAAAAAAAAAAAAAAGCACTCAAGATACTTCTTGTGCTGCACAGCCTGCCTTTAAAAATATTTGTCAAACAAAAATAAATGAATGTAAATCAAATTCTGCCCCGATTTATTTTATAATATGCTGCATAATTTACTCATGCACCGTGTGGTTTTAAGCTTTGCTCTTAATCTTTATGTTCTAGCAGTTAATTGTGAGTTATCGTAACCTGCAAAAATGAACTAAACAAGTAATAGAGTCCTGCTAGTTGCAATTAAATCCCTCCGTAAATAGATTTATTTTATAGAGTCCCTTGAGATCTGGTAGGAAATCAGTATCACAAAAACCAGTAAACACACCAGATAAGTCAGGGATGAAGTTGTGGAGAAGTGTGGCTGGGTTTAGAATATCTTAAAGCTGTAAACATCTTGTGACGCATTGTGCAATTTATAACGTAAAATTGGAACCAGCCAAAACACGGTTATCCAATTGGAGAATAATGGTAGTGTAATGAAAGCGACAGCCCCTTAAAAGTGCTTACATTCCCAGTTCTCACAGACTGGTTTTAACCTTACTTTAAATAACTTGTCGGTATAGTAAATGGTTATAAAACAGGACTGAAAGTTTAACAGTAATATCATCTTAACCAGACAGAGAAGATTACTCAAATTGCAGGGCTGGGATTATCTTTAACTTAGTGGAGAAAGGGCTTAGAAATGAGTCCAGCATAAGGGTCGCAACAATTTCCTACAGAAACTGTAGGGACTCACCCCGTGACAACTGTACACTATACAGATAATGAACAAATAGTTTGTCATACAATGCCCCCAAAATAAAGGGAATACGTAAAAAAAACAATATAGCATCCATCAAATCAAACTGCTGTGAATCTGAGCAATCTTATCTAAAATTTTGCCTAAAATAGTTGTCAAAAAAATGTGACAACTTTTTAGTGACATTTTTCAATCTGGTTTAAGAGCTCATCATAGCTCTAACAGCTCAGGTTAAAGACAGTGATATTCTTATGGCCTGAGATAATAGACTAGTATTTGTACTGTAATATTTTGTAAGAATTAAGGAAACAGCACTAGGCTGGTTTAAAGCATATTTATCTGACAGATTTCAGTTTGTTCATGTTTATAATATATCTTCCTCATGCACTGATCCATGTGAAGTACCAGAGGGATCAGTGCCAGGGCCCGTTCTCTATATATATTCACACTAAATAAATGTGACGGATTCTGGAAACTGACTCCAAATCCAGGCCTCTATTGATTAGATTTTTTATCAATTTTTTTTATTATTAATTAGATTTTTTTGTTTTTATTCTAGAGCACAAAATGGAGATCCTGTTCTTACATTTCATTTACACAAATCCCTGGAAAAGCAGTTATTAATAGAGATTTTCTATTAATAAATATTAGCCAGGCAGTATGTTAAACCTGGATTCTTTCTCATCTCAGATGCCTCCATAATTCATCAGATTTGCAGTCGTCTGTATCACCAATCTGACCTTAGATCAGAAAAAGGTGCAAAATGCAAGAACACTAGCACACCATCGAGATAACATCCCCTTTACTTTGCACTAATGATCAATTTTGATATCACATGAAATATGTAAAAGCACCTAAAAAGATTTCAGTTCTATTGTTACTGAAGTCCATTAGCTTTTGAGTGTTACTATAGAAACCAATGACTTTTAAATGTTACTCATCCATCCAAATCAGAGTTACTTGTTTTATATTAATTTGTCTGATAAAGTAACTTATCAAATCATTATCCTTCATTCAGCAAAAAATAAGTAAATTCTAATCCAGATTGTAGAAAGCACTTTGGTATAAGGTCTGCAAGAATTGTTTACAACTTTGCACAGTTAATGTCTAACTCTTTAATCTTTTTGTGCTTTTTGATGCACACATATCAGCAACCAGACTTTTCCTATTACTAAACGTTATTGTATTCTGCATTAGCACAAGTCTCAGATCCCTGTGTTATAATTTGTGGAAAATGCAAAAAGGCAAAATACATTGTTTTAAAAGGAGCCGGCATCACATTGCATGATCCCATGTGTTGCACGATCTTCTGTTTCTAGTCATGAACAAGAAAACAATAGAACAGCAATGATTAAATTACACACAGACTGACTTTTTTGAGTCCCTTGATTTTTTTTTAGTTTGTCAGAGTGAAGGGTACTGAAAACAAAAGCATGCCACACTTTTTGAATTGTTATTTGCAAAGTTAAAAGTGAAAATTTTACTCATATTTTAAAACTGCACTTTTTTTTTTAAACAAATCACAACAGAATGTATAGTTAACTATGTTTAAGGGATTTGGATACTGATTAAATGCCCATGTTTATTACAATGATCTGAGTAAATCACTACTAACGCTGATTCTGCAGTTATAGACAATTTTGTCCTGAAATTGTTAAATCAACTCCTCAGTTTTTGTGGTTTCGGTCTCCCTTCAGTGAGACAGCTCAATGGGATCCAAATTCCTCAGAATATACAAAGAAAACAGAAAGTCAACATATTTTTTATATCTTTTATATTTGCAGTTGACTTCTTTCAACGAATAATGTAGTTAGAGATGAAATTAGTTATCTGATCTCATCAACCAAGTAGTTGCATAATACAATAAGAATAACATGGACCCAGACAGAAACCTTTATTTAAACACAGGAAAATTAATGTAAATATTTTTCAACTTAAAATTGCCTTTAACCAAATCAAATGAAACCTTCTCGGTAATCCACTTCAACAGCTGCAGTCTAAATACTAACTTTGAAAGCATCAAAAATTGAAAATTATTCTCCAAAAAGTTAAATTATTATTATTATCAAATACTTAAAAAACAAAAATAGATCAAGTATATGCATTAAAACAATCAACTTAAAATCATTAACTTAATGTTGCTTAATGGTTCCTGCTAATGGCAAAAAAAAAAAATGTGGAATGAAGATAAGAAAGGAAGAGGATTATATAAAGTACAAAAGTCAGTATTAAATAGAAATATTAATGAGAGAAACAGAAGGGAAGCAGTAATAATGATCAGATTAAGAGTGGGTCATAACTATTTCAATGACAATTTATATTTGATAGGGAGAAAAAAAATAATGATAAATGTGAAGGATTGATGAACTGTAAAACGTGTTCAACCTGAAAGGGAGAAATTGAGAAGAATGGTTGGAAGAACAGGTCAAAAATGAAGTTTTAAAGGAATATTAGAAAATTAAGGAAATATAAATGATGTTTACAGATGAAAGTAATAATCATTTATTCATCTTAAAAGTAAAAAAAAAAAAAAAAAATACAATTTGAAAGATGTATAGTAACGTTGCCACACACTCATGTACACTAGGTGGCGGTATACACCTTAAAGTTGCGATCCGCCACAATAGAAAAGAAGAAGAAGAATCTTCTAATCTATAAGAATACGGGGAGATACAGGGGGCTTTCTATTATTTTCACTGAAAGAAATGTTTCTTCCAAGAAAGCGTTAAAAAAGTAAGTAATATACACGGTTTACTCTGATGTAAAAATATGCATACATAAAAACACAGAAAATGAAGCGTGCTGTGCGGTTGGCGTCATTTTCTCTTTGTTAGTGAAAACGTGTCTTTCCTGTTCCTGCTGGAGGCTTTCAGTCCACTTTAGTATTTAAATTGGACTTTATTCTGTGCGAAGGTGAACAGGAGTCCTGCTGAGAACCATGGCGAACCAGAGGGTTCTCCCTCAGAGCAAGGAGACTCTGCTGCAGAACTACAACAAGAGGCTCAAAGATGACATCAAGTCCATCATGGACAACTTCACGGAAATCGTCAAAACTGCAAAGGCAGCTCACTGGTTTCTCTAAAATAAAAACAATTATTCTCTTTTCAAGCAGTGAAATCTGCACAGCGTTCACAGCATCATCCTCACCCAGTTTTCCATCTCTTTTTATCATTGATCAGATTGAAGAGGAGACTCAGGTATCTCGACCAACCCAAGCAGAGCAAGATCACTATGAGATGCACGTCAGAGCTGCAAACATTGTAAGGAACAGATATAACAATCTGAAATTAGCTGCTATTGTAAGTAGAGATCTACATGATGCTTCAACCTTTATGTGAAATGGTAATGGTGAAGTAGCGCTGCATACTATTGCAGGAAAACATGGTGGTAGCGGTGTCATGGTGGGGGATGTCAGTAGCCGATCCATCCCATCAGCTCATTTGCACATGCGCAGTCAGATATACATCCGGGTTTCCATAAATAATGTAATCATGGTACTAAAATTACTTATTTCTATTTCTTATAACTAACAAAAGAATACTAATATACATCTTTAAAAAATGTTTTAATGACTTTTCTGAGACAGGTTTGATGCTTTTTACATTTTTCCATTAAACTGTTTGTCTGACATCATGGTCAGACATGCTCAGAGTAGTCTGGCAAAATATGAATAAACCATGGTTATCTGTATTTTAGTTTCTTTATTTAGGTTGCGCACTATATACCATAATGTTAACATGAAAGAAAACATAAAACTCAAAAACACTAGATTTACAGTAGTTAGACCATAACTCATGTACGGTGGCCTCAGTCCTCGATGTGGGCGACCCGGGTTCAAATCCGGCCTGTGGTCCATTCCCGCATGTCTCTCCCCCTCTTTCATACCCCCTTTAATGTCAGCCTACTGTCCATAAAACGAGACACTAGTGCCGTTAAAAAAAAATAATAATAAAGAAAAAATACAAAGCCGAAAAAGTAAGATCCCGGAGGTAGCATAGGATCTGATTTCTGGTGTTGTGTCAGACCAGCATACCCATAGTCAATACACTTGCGCAAGATGTCAGTTTTGCGTTTATCCCTTTAGTTTTGTACGAAAAATACACTTTAAATACCTGTTGGGCGTGTGTCACTCTAGTCATGTACAAAAACAATTTAGGGTCAGATCACCGTATGCTTCAAAAAACACCAAAAAGTAAGTAATTAAATTGTTTTTTTGTACATGACTAAAGAAATACACACCCGTTGAGGTATTTAAAAGTTTATTTATTATTTTTTTTTTTTTTACAAAACTAAAGGGATAAACTATTGATGGGTATGCTGGTTTGACCTGGTATGCTGGTAATAATTGAACTTTATTGATCTCACATTGGAGAAATTTATCTCTGCATTCAACCCATCCCCTTTGGGGAGCAGTGGGCTGCCATTGTGCGGCACCCAGGGAGCAGTGTGGGGTTGAGGGTCTTGCTCAGGGACCCAGAGTGGCAGGGTATGCTAATCTGACAGAACACCGGATCAGATCGGGTACAGACAAGTGATAAAATAGAAAGGATTTTAAGGCATTTATTTTCCCAGGAAATACATGATAACCTTTAACACATTATAGTTTAGTGCGCTTAAACATTTTGGGGAGGGAAAAATTTAATTAAGGTCTTTTTTACAACATAAAATCAAGGGTGACCTGGATGTATATCTGGTTGAGCAAATAAGCGAATGGTACGGATCGTGTTTCTGGAACGTATCTGGTAGTGACAGGGAACCCTTTTCATCCTATTCACAAACATTGCTAATGTGTGTTGGTCAACATCATACTTGTTTTTAGTTTTGAGGTAATTTATTTAGCAGCAGAAGGTCTGTATTTTCCTGAAGACTTCATACAGATATCATAGTAACATTTTTATTTTTTTTATTGAGGTTTTAAAGAACAGAACAATGTATACATCAAGCTAAAATGCTGTAGAAAATGATATATCTGCGAAAAAAGAAAATTAGTTTTAAATATAACACAAATAACACAAATATAACAAAATTAAGGTACATCAAGTTTATAAAATAAATCTGTTTTTAAAAGATGACGGATATGTAGGGCTTTCCTGTTTGTAATGTCTTTTATTAAAGAGACATGAAGTTTTGCGTACAAAATTATTTCTGTGAAGTGAGGTTTGTGATTGGAGTACTTGGATCTGTGTATGTAAAACATCTAAAGAAGAGGAAGGTTAATAAAAAAGTACTAAAATTGTAACTTCTTGTCATAATCTCTGAAGAAAATTGAACATGTTCCCAGCATAATGAAGTAAGGGGGAATTTATTAAAAAACGAGAAGAAATACTCCAGAAACACTTAAAGGGAAATTGCTCAAATAAATGAACTCGTTTCCCTTTGAACATCACTTCAGCTAACCTTAAAATCACTTTTAATTAGAAAGTAGAAGTTGGTTTGATTAAATCAATGCAGCATTTCAAAAAATTTCCCTTAACCAGTACAAGTGAGAAGATGGTGAACAAAGTATATCTGTAAGGACACAGCAGCAATGGCTAAATGCCACACTTCACAAAGAACGACAAAACTAAAAACCCAGGAAAACATCAGAAAACATAAAATAGGGCCAGAATTTCTCTTTATGGTGAAAGGATGTTGGATATTTTTAAGATGTTTATGTAACAGGATGGATGTTCATGTAAAAGGATAGGGGGAAGAAAGAGGAAAAAAAAAAAAAAAGAGGACCTTCCTGTAGTTTTTTTTTATTTTTTTCTGAAGGTTTTTCATTCTGTGTTTCCGCACCAGGTTCGAGCTGGTGAGTCCCTGATGAAACTGGTGTCGGATCTGAAACAGTTCCTGATCCTGAACGACTTTCCTTCTGTGAACGATGCGATCAGTCAGCAGAACCAGCAGCTCAGAGCGCTGCAGGACGAGTGTGACAAGAAGCTGACGTCGCTCCGGGACGAGATTGCTGTCGACCTCTATGAGCTAGAGGAAGAGTATTACTCCTCCAGGTACAAATAGGCTCCCACCTGCCCCATCCCTCCGCCCTAATGTCCTTTCATAACCTACTTAGCTTATCACCCAGCTACTACTGAGCCTGGTTACTCGATACACATTAATTCATCCCAACAAATCAATGCTGAAGGTCATCTTGTTTCATTTTCTTAAGTGCTTTTACAGCCTTACTGTTAACAGCTTATCAGCCTTGTCTTTTATTTTATTTTTTTAAAGACCTTAAAGGGGTGAACACTACATATCTGCTTTAACTGCATATCCGGTTCTCCATCTGCTGGTCAACATTCTTGTTATAGATATCTGTGAAATATTCATCTCATTGTTCTGGTGACGCCTTAATGAACCAAAGAAGTTAACGTCAAAAATGCATTGCTGAAGTATTTATATCACTTAAATATTTTTGCCTTTTTTTTGTTTTTCCATGTGAAGACCAAAAACCTCCCTGCATTGTACTGTTGTTTTATTTGACAGACAAACTTTAGAGTACATCATAGATAAGTGGAAGAAATGATGTCTACCACTGTTACTATTTAGCTCTCCTGGCTCCATGCTTTAGAAATAATCATGCTCGTCTCTCTTACATGCATTTTTAAGCATGTATTCTCTATGTGGCTCTGGATGTCTTCTAAAGCTGTTGCCAGGCAGAAAACTGAACCTCTTCTTCAGTTTTTAAAATAATTTCCTTTGAAATATTCTCCTAAACTCTGAGTTGCTTTGTTAGCTTTGATGACAAAAAAGCTTCCCCCAAACATGAAGCCACATTTCTTTAGGGAAACTATTTGTTTGCTTTGCCGATTGTTTTCTGGGTCTCAATTTTTTTTGCTATTGGTCAAAACTTTCAGAGTATTTTTTTTGTTTGGTTTTGGACTGTAATCTCTAATTTTGGTCTGCTCATACTGTATGTGGTTGGTTTCCCTACATTTTACCGAGGGATCAGTTAAGAGGATAATTACTGCATTTTCCACTCTCTAGATGTTATATTAAATAAAAACACATGATTTCTGTTAAATAATATCTAAACTACCGTATTTTCACGACCATAAGGCGCACCGTACTAAAGGGGCAGTCTCAGTTATGTGTGCAATTACTGTATTTAACACACATAAGGCGCACTGGACTATAGGGCGCAGGTTTTATAAACCGGTACATGCAACCGGCGCTGCCTTCCACTTTTCGTGAAACTGTGGTCTCCGTCGGTCATCCATCGCTCCCACGCCGCTCGCAGCCTTACTTTGAACGGCCGGTTCACACCGATGTCGAGTGGTTGAAGTTCCTTTGTCAGACCTCCCGGAATAACAGCGAGCACAGCGTCCATTTGATTCACCTTGTTTTTCGCATTGGCTGTGAGATGGGCACGCATGGAGTCACAGATTAACAGCGATGGTGATGCGTGGAAAACACCACCTGGTCTCCTTACATACAACTCCCTCAGCCATGCTTTCATCATCTCCTCATCCATCCAGCCCTTTTCATTTGCCTTAATAACGACTCCAGCTGGAAAAGTCTCTTTAGGCAAAGTCTTTCTCTTAAAAATCAACATAGGCGGCAGTTTCTGTCCATTTGCATGGCAGCCAAGCACAACAGTAAACGTCCACACTTCCCCCTTTAACGTTCTCATGATAATAACAACACACATAGGGCGCGCCGCACATTTTGAGGGAAAAAAAAGACGTTTATATGCGCCTTATAGTCGCGAAAATACCGTACACCAGTTTATGGTTGTAACATCAAATGGTGCTAGTGTTATGAATACTTCTGCAAGTTCCTGTTTCTACTGCTGTTTTTTTTATCAGAAACTATAACTCTTTCTTTTGTTCTGCAACATCTAATGGATTTACATCATTTTCCATTTATAGCAGAGATAAACATTTGGTAAAATCTTTTATGACTTGTTGGAAATCATTTTTATATGGAATAGGAAAATATGTTAGAAAAACTAAAGTAATATAAAGACTATTTGTTAAATACATTATTAGAATCAAAATAATCTGATGGAATTTATAAATTATTTGTACTGTTGGCTCCAGATTGGTTTTAACTTACCTGATTAGTTTGCATCTAAACTTAGTGGATTTTTTTAGGTGTGTGTTGATAAAAGAATAATTAAGAGAATTTGTTGTTTCCGTCCAATCGATCTGTAACCATGTAAACGGTTCAGAGGACCTAGAAAGACTGAGAAATAAAGCGGAGACAAAACCCTACAGCAGTTTGTTGTTTTTGGGTTCATACAGGTATTAAGGGATGTTTTTGTTGGAGCTTGCTTAATGCAGACCTAACTTTCTTGCAGCCTTTGCACTGCTGTCCTAATCAACCACTAATTCCATCCTTTTGCTCATCCTAAATCAAGTTGTAAATCCAATCAAAGGCTATCGTTTGGTTTTTGTGCTTTTTGCCTCTAACGAACCTGCTTTCATGTGCTCTGCTGTTTGTATGGGTGTGTTTATTCTGACCTGCTGCTCTTGTCTGCTTCTCTTTTTCTGCGCTGCGCTCTTTGCCTCCAAACCGGTTTCTGCTCTGCTGCAAAGTTGCAGTCATTGGAACAGCACTGACCTGCCTCTGTGCGAGGCCTACCGCCGGCGTGACAGCTGGGCCTCTCAAGATAGCAGCACCAGCTCAACCCAGGATGACCGAGATGACGTAGAGGGAACGCCAAAACAAGAAGCCAACCTGCAACACCCCATCAATGGACATGGGACAGCCCCCACGGAGAAAGCATGAAGAAGGACGGAGGAATGCTCCTGTTAAATCTGGGAAATATGGCCTATACCTTAGAGACGAGTTTTAGTTTTGTTTCATTGCCTAAAACTAGACTAATATTTCATATTTTCTGTAAAAAGTAGGAAAATTAGATGCACTGAACACAATCTTATAGAGTTCTGTAGTAGATTTAGAGCTTTTCTAAGTGAACACTTGCTGACATTCCTCCTGATATTGGCCCATTTAAAAAAAAAAATGAAATGCTTATGTTACTGAAATGTACAGTAAACTGAATGAGTTTCAGTTCACCTTGAAGCTTGTATTTATGCGTTTTTTTCTTTAGAAGCAGGTATATATATATTTTTTCCTTGGTTTTCTTTAAATCCTGCACATTTTCCTTCCAGGTGCTGAAGTAGATGTGAAACAGGTCGCTTTATAGCTGCGCTATTTTACATTTCTACTGACCATGATAACATCCTCAGGGTTTTATACTAAACTCAAACCATAGTTCACACAAAATGCTGCCAAACATGTAGATAAAAATGGCCAATTCTTACAACTTGTCAGTTAATCAGTGCATCGTTGTCATTTTTTTTTTCTTCAGGCAATTATTTTTGGATTTATATTGTAAAATGTGTTTGTTTTTGACTTGTTAAACTAATCGGATCACATTAAAGAAAACACTGTTTTTATTTTATTGAATGTGTTCATTGAAAATCCACAAAAGTAGTTTAGAGATAAATGGGAACATAAAGCAGAAACTAAGGATTTAGCAGAGAACCACAGAGTATAGAGAATAATATGCTCTAGCATTGACAATTTTACATCCAGGCCTTCAAATTTAGTTTTCCTTGATATAATTAATATTAAACATGAAATACACATAACGTATAAAGATGATCACGATGTTTTAAGTAGAACAGAAATAGCCAATAAAATATGTAAATAATCAGAAGTAAGTGAGAATTCATAAGACCAGGAACTCAGTTTTTAGTTATATTTACCTGAGGCTTCTCCACTATTACGGTACTATTTTCAGTTTCAGTCATTCCAAACATGTCTATGATTTAGAACAGGACTGTTAAAGTACAGCTAACCAGACAAATAAATCGTATATTCTAAACATTTACCATTTTGATTCAACACGCTGCAGGTGTTAAAAGAAAAAAAAATTACATTAAGGTACAACTATTAATTGTATTTGCACACTTAAAACAAAAAAGACTGAAGGTTGTTGGTCAAAGTTATAATTTGTAGGAAGCCTAATCTTACCAATAGAATAACACATGCATGGCAGAATACATGTTTTTTTGTTTGTTTTTTTTTTTACAATAGTTAAGGGGTACAACACTGGCAATGGGAGAGCTGCTGTCATTACTCTTTAGGTAACTAGGTTATGACTCAGTGTGGAGAAAGATGACGCCATGTCGGTTATTTCCATGCTAATATCGTCGGTTCATCTTCTTGAACTTCTCATAGTGGTAGTCATCTGTGGCTTTTTCATTGTTTGGACGTTTGCGGTGGTTGGGTGGTGACGGAACTGTTAAAAGAGAAATTATTTAGACTGCTGCAGTTTCAGGACATTAACAGCGTGTGACAGATGCCCTCTACCTTCTGGTCCAGGTTTCTCTGTATCTCCAACCCGAAGGGGTCTTGCTTTAGGTTCTTCTTTGTGTCTGTGATGCCTCTGCGGTGCGTTAACATCCTCATGATAAACTAAAAGCACAAAAAGAAATCCCCTTAAGTCCTGCTAATCATTTGGGTTATTACAACACATTGCAGTATGTAGGGATTAACTCACATCGGTTGTGTTGGACATAATTCACAGCAATGTTTGTTGGAACGAATGATGTGCCTTGGTCTTTCTTTTTGTTTCTTTGTTCTGCCAACAGTTTGGCTTTTGCTTCTTCTGTCTGAATTATGTTTTTGATCTTTGCACTGAAAAAAAGGAAGAAGCTTTTAGTCTTGGCAAACTTCAAAATTATTTACACATCTAAAACACTAGTAATTGTGTTAAAAAATGGAAAAGATTATTAAACAGTCCGAACGTACTCGATGCCTAGGTCAACTTCAGGGATTCCACTCAACATCTGGTTAGATAACATCTCTTCGGTCTTCTTGGCTGAGTTGACATTGATGCTCTCAGGCAGCTCATAGAGGTGGTCTTCTGCATTTTTCACCTTGACTTTCTGTTCCTCAGCCTCCACCAAGCCCTTCTTCTTTTTTAACTCAGTCTCGATATATTTCATCCTAAGAAAATAAACACATTAAGTATTCCGATGATGCAGTGAAACTGTAAGTATCAGTTGCAATGACTTTTAAACTGCACGTGTAATTAAACCAAAATGTTTTATACTGAAATAGCCCATGATTGATTGCATACCATTCACATTCATAAAAATCCCAAAATGGTCAGTATGTGACGATAAATGATTAACTGTGTTTGACCAGGCAATCAGCAAAAAATAAAATCTGGTCTGGAATGCATAACTACTCAACAAATGGAGGAAAAAAAGACAACAGAATGCAGAACTGGACCCTCCAAAATAAAATAAAATTTCCAGAGTAAGTGAAAAAGTGTTGGGAAAAGCGCATGTTAGGAGAAACATGCATTTCATTTTTTAAAGTAATGCATGTTTACACTAAACAAAATATGCAGCAGATGTATTTTTTTTCTTATACAACCAGCTTGATTTAAATCTAATGAATGATTGTAAACCTAAAAGCAGCTTTAAAACTATGAAATCTTTCATTGTACATGTACAGGCCACAATACTGAACTAAGTTCCCCTTCTTCAGCTTTGAAAAACTACTCCTTTTTCTTGAATTTAAAGCACGAATTTGAAGCATGATTTGAAAGGCTATAGATAAATATATATGCTACATACGCTGCAGTCCTGCATTTATCAAACATATTAAAGTATCAGTTCATTAGATCCACAAACACAGATATTAGGCTCCAGTCTTTGAATGGGAAGCAAACAACCATTGAGCACATATGCAGTTATTTATCGGCTCCATTTTATTTTATTTCTTTTGCTCTGTAGATTTATTTATTGTGCAGATATTTATTTATTGTAGAGTGAATAAAGCATACATACATGTCTGCATCCTCATCTCTTCTGTTAGTCTCAGCTGAGAAAGATGTGCCCAGGTTCAGGTCTGTCTCATCTTCTGTCCTGTAATTTGATGACACACAAATTTAACAGAGGGTACGCCTATTTGTGAAATCAAGCTCTTTTATTTACAATACGCCAAAATCCAAGTGCATTATTAGCGTTAACTTACATGTCTCTGTTCCTGTCTTTCACTTTCTTCATGTCCACAACCCCCCCAGTCTTCAGTTTGAATGGATCATTCTGTCGGAAATGATCCGTTTTGAAAACAAATTTAAAACATGTTCTAAATACACACAAATATTGAGAATCAATAACATGACTTACATCTATTTCAGCTTCTGGCGGAAGTTTCTCTCCAACCAATAGGGCGGTTATACTGGAAAAATAATTACATTGTAAAGTTACCAATGAATGGTCTATTCCACACGCAGGAGACTTTGAATAAATTGTAATATTGTATTACTGTTTAATAAACCAGTTTAAAACTTGACACTCATTTGTGGATTCGTTAAAAAACAGGGTTACATATTTCAAATACTCAATAGTTGAATAGGTTGTAGTGAGATAACTCCTAAAGAGATTCACTGGTCTCCTCTACAAGGAGGAGAAGGCCATTGTTGAAAAAGCTGGCTGAAGCTGGCTGCTTCTTGGGGGAAGTTTTACCTAGTGGTTAGAGCAGTGCACTTTTGCTCTGAGAAGTTTGCAAGCACTGATCTCTGTTTATTCACTGGATTGCTGATTGGCTGAAAAAACAGAACCCACCATCTGCCATGCTGGTACTCCCCACTCCCATGGAGATATGCAGTAAAAATGCCTACATGTGCAGCCTTGGCTGCAAATACAAGCAGTTTGCCGGCTCTGGGAAGATGTTCCACAGGTAATTTCACAGTCAGTGGATGTACTAACTAAGAAAATCCACATATATGCCAATGTATCTTACAGTATAGTATGTAGCTTAACATTAGGCTGGCTATCTTGGACTTACTTGAAGTTAGTCACTAAATTAGCCATTGACATCGTGTCTAAGGTAAGAAAATAGAAAGTAGAGTAAATAGAAAATAATTCACTGTGAAATGTCAATGTAGTAATT